GGAGGAGGGGGAGGAGAGGAAAGAGGATGAGGAAAAGGAGGTGGAGGAGAAGGCGGTGGAGGCGGAGGAGGAGGAGGACCCGCACCAGAGAAAGGTCAGGTAGGGCATGTCCCCCCTGCAGGCGGATTTTTGGCGAAAGACAAAACACACCCAGAAAATATTCAAACATGGCCCAGAAAGAATCGGAACATCGTCTCCTGACTTCTTTTTTATATATAAAAAAACTATTTTGGAGTATTCCTCCTGTACAGGGACGTGCCCGACTTCAACCAAAGGTCACTCCGGCGAAGGGTCACTCGTACAGTCATCGGCCTGACCTAAGGAACGATGAACAAGGAACGAAGTTCCCTTTTTCCAAGGAACAACGCATAAGGAGCGATCAATCATAGACAACGCATGCTCCAGATCCTTCAATAAGCACCCCCACCGTGCCAACCTGTCCGACGCCCCTTGCTCGCCCTCCCACGCGCCCCAAACCCACCCCCTCTCGCTCCCCAACCTTCCCACGCCCCCCGAAGGACAGCGGCTTCCCACCCCCCCACGCGATCCCCCCCCCACGCTTGTTGAGAGACCTGGAGCAAGGAACGAGAATAGCGCCGATCCGAGAAATCCGCGCGGACCTCAGAGTTTTTGTTTACGTCACTTTTTGTTCCCCTACCCGCCCCCCCACGCTTGTTGAGAGACCTGGAGCAAGGAACGAGAAATCGCGCACGCAGGCCCGGGGAGCGACCGAGCCCCTCTTGAGAAGCAGGTGCCCCCTGTTCAGGCCGCTCGCCGCACGCGCACAGTCGCGCAAACCCGCCCCGGCCCCTCGGCCCGCCAGGGGGCCGCCCCAGCGGGCTCAGGTCGGGCGTGGCCCCCTACGGGCGGATTTTTCGGGGTTGCGGGGTTGGACAGACCCCCCTTTAGTAAAACCCGTGTCTGCCCACTCCGTGAACTGGTTCCTGTTGTCGGAGCGCGGGCCGTGCTCGCGGAGGAACGCGAATCCTTCGCTAACGCTCGCCCCGCTCCAATAGCTGCTCCCGCTCGTTCTGCGGCGCCAACGTAATGCGCCTGATTTATCGGGGATGGACAGACCCCCCTTTCGTAAAACGTGGTTTAGTGAAAACGACCCGAGGCCCAAACCTGGCGGGCGCAGGCCTGGAAAGTGACGGCCACGGCGCCCTCTCGAGAACCGAAAACGGACAGTTCACGAATCGACGTGTCACTGTTGGGGGTTCTGTCCACCTCCGAACTTTGGACGACAAAAACAAAATACCCCCCCCCCCCCCCAAAAAAACAATGAATAGTCAAACATTGAAGAAAAAAAGTCGTCCCCATTCAAACATTGAATATTCAAACAAACATTGAATATTCAAACATTGAATATTCAAACATTCAAACAATGAATATTCAAACATTGAATATTCAAAAAAGAAGGAGAAAAAACAATGAATATTCAAACATTGAATATTCAAACATTGAAGAAAACAGTGAATATTCAAACATGGAAGAACAATGAATATTCAAACATTCAGAATATTCAAACAAACATTGAACAATTGTTTTTTTTGTTTTTACCATTTTTGAAGATTCCTTCTGTAGGGGGACGCGCCCGACTTGACCCTGGGCCGCGGGGGGGTGGCGGGGGCCGGCCGCCGGGGTCGGCGGGCCTCCTGCGCGGCCCGATACCCGGAGCGGCATCCGAAAAGCGGCTCGGAGTCGGGATCGGAACCTCGAAGGTCGAAGCGGAATCGGAAGTCGGAATTCGGAGGTCGGAAGTCGAAAGTAGTCGAGGCCGAGGTCGAACCGAACGTCGGACCACCCCAGCCCAACCCGAAGACCCGAATTTCGGGTTGTCGGGGGGGGTCCACAGGTGTTTTCTCGACGTTCCCCGACCACCCCCCCCACTGGAAATCGAGGGTAAGTCTGAGCCCTCGGGTTGGGTTGGGGTGGTTTGGTGGGTGGTGAGAGTCGGGATCGGAACCTCGAAGGTCGAAGCGGAAGCGTAATCGGAAGTCGGAATCGGAAGTCGAAAGTAGTCGAAGTCGAGGTCGAGGTCGAACCAAAAAGCGGAGCGGAGGAGCCGCAAGGAGAGCCCCGCAGAGGCGCCTCCGGCGAAGGGGGCCCCCTCCCTTGCGTGCAGTCGGGCCCCCGCCCCGGCCCTCCGCCTGCCAGGGGGGGGGGGCCGCCCCCCTCCCCCCCGGGGCCGCGGGGGGGGGCGGGCCCCCTTCGCCGCCGGGGTGGGCGGGCCCCCTTCGCGCGCGCGCGCCGCGACGGCGCAGCACGCGCCCCAAGACGCGCCCTCTGCTCGCCCGCGGGCTCGCGCCAGGAGGGCCAGGGAGCGAATCGACGAGTCGGAGCGGCGATCGAGAGGAGTCGTGTCGGCGGAAAGCGGCGGCCGAGTTCCGGGAAAGTCGGATCGGCAGGAATCGGCAGGCTGGGAGGCCTCCATTGAGAAATCGAATCCCGCATCGGAATCCCAAGTCGAATCGAATCGGAATCGGAAGCCATGGAAATCGAATCGAACCGGGGGGATCGAAACGAGCCCTGTCACGCTGGTCCCCAGGCTAGATCGGCGCAGCGGAATCTTCGCCGACGCCGACAGAACACACTGTTGCAGCGGGCAGCGCGGCGGGTAGCAGACGAGAGAGGCACGAACGAACGGGCAATCAGAACGCACGCTCCCTGCGCTCCTTGCCAGCATTATTTCTTTGTGTGTTGCTCTCTCTCTCTCTCTCTTTTTTTGTTTTCCTCTCTCTCTCTCTTGTTTTTGTCGTTATCAATTATTTCTTTATTTGTTTGTTTCTCTCTCTCTCTCTCTCTCGCTCTCTCTCTCTCTATATATATATATAAAGAAAGAGTGAAAGAGAGAGAAAGAAAATCCCCCCATCACAAGCACCTGGACAAGCGAAGCCGTTTAGTCAACGCACCCAAGGAGGGAACCGAACAGGGCAGGGCTGTTCGGTGCACGCCCAAGGCCGTGCAGCCAACGCCAGTTATCTGTCGGGGTCGGGGCGGTCGTCCCCCCCCCCCCTCGGCTCGAGCTACCCCCCCCCCCTTAGGGGGCCACGTGCGAGCCCTGCCCCTGCCCCCCACGACTTCTGAGGGGGAGGGTCGGGTTCACTCCTCGCTCGGGAGCTCCCGAAGGAAGCGAGGCCCCCCCTCCCCCCCCTCAGAAAAATCGTGGGGGGGCAGGGGCAGGGCTCGCACGTGGCCCCCACCCCCGGCGTGCGGAGCCGGCGGGGCGGCGGCGAGGGCCTTGCTGCAGTCCCGGCCGCTGCCGCACTCGGCGTCGTAGTCGAAGCAGAACCTGCGCGGCGCCCGCGGGGGTGCGGAGGCCGCCCGTGGCGGAGGAGCAGCGGGAGGTCGGCAGCGGGAGGCGGCAGCGGGAGCGGAAGCGGCAGGACTCCTCCTCCTCCCTCCTCCTTCACCGTCCTCCTCCCTCCTCCTCCGTCCTCCTCCCTCCTCCCTCCTCCTCCTCCTCCTCCTCCTCCTCCTCCTCCTCCTCCTCCTCCTCCTCCTCACTCCCTCTCCTCCTCCTCCTCCTCCTCCTCCCTACCTCCTTCTCCGCTCCTCCTCCTCCTCCTCCTCCTCCTCCTCCTCCTCCTCCTCCTCCTCCTCCTCCTCCCTACCTCCTTCTCCGCCTCCTCCTCCTCCGAGGGGGGAGGGGACCAGACAGGCGCGTTCCACCACTCGCCACTCGCAGAGGGGCTGCTCGCCAGCGGCCTGGATCCGCTGCTTCGGGGCGAAAAAGCTCCACTGCATCGACCAGTATTTGCTTTTCTTTGGGTGCTTGCGAGTAGGCGCTCTGCGAGTAGTGGAAGGCGTTCGGTGAGAGACGGGAGCACGGCGCGCTTTTCCCTAATGGCGCTTCGCCATACGGTTCGAATCGGAGCAAGCAGAAATACCCCAGGAAAAAATCCGACAAGGGTCGGGTGCTGCCAGAAGTGCCCCCTACCCAAGGCGCCCCCAGGATTTCCAAGGATGCCCCCGTGGCCTCCAGAGCACCCCTCACGAGGCCCAGAAGGCCCCCAGGGGCTCCAACGTCGAGCGACAAGCTGGGGGCACCCTGGGCCAAGGGCACCCCCTCGCACCCCCCCGAGAAGGGGGGACGGGGAACCCGCGCCCGCCCTTTACCTTCATCATTGTCGCCTGAGACTTCCTCACACGTGATTGAGATCCGTGCCCTCGCCTCTACAGTGGAGGCCAGTCCACAAGAAACCTTCCACCAGAAACCCAACCCTGAGACCCCAGGACGCCCTCTGACTGTTGGTGTGGGAGCGTCACACTTTCCACAGCAAAGTATCGCAACCCACGAAACCCAGGGCACCCTGGAGGCAAGCAAGGTGTTTCTTGGCATGGGTCTCCACTGTATGTGAGCGTTTTCTTCTTCGGCGCTTCGGCCTGGGGCGGAAGGCAAGGGGAGAGGGGAGGTCTTGCTCCGGACCTCTGCTCAGCGCGACTGCTTGCAGCAGTGCGTCCTGTGGGGGAGACTCCGCCTGCTCGAACCATGCGCCAAAAATATCAAGATCTGCTCCACGAGGGGGGGGAGGGGGTGCGAGGGCCCGCGCCGATCAGCAAAACAATGAATGATAAGAAAACGATCACAAGACCCATGCTCTCGCCTCTATGCCAGCTGCATGTTTGGTCCAGACGGCGAGGATCGATCCCTGGTAACAAATACACTGAGATGGGCATGGCCGTGCTCTCCGTGTTCTTCCACTACGGTGCCCACACAAGTGCACCAAAGAGACACCCCAACCAGTGGATGTTTTGGAGTTTTTCGCATGCACTCCACGCCAGCCCCTCCATATTGCTTCCTTTACTTGTAATTGCTGTTTTCTCTCTCTCTCTCTCTCTCTCTCTCTCTCTATCAGTATTTACAACTATCTATCCATTGTTATGTTGTACAAGCTGCTCATACACATAAATGGTATGTCAACTTGATATGCCCCCACACCTTGTCACGCCCATATGGTCTCAGGCCTACTCTCACCAATGTATATATATATATATATGTATGCATTTAGATGCACATACATATATATATATATATATATATGTAGAATCATATACGTGCATATACTAAAACCATTGCGCGCGCTTCGCGCGCGCTCAAGTTCTAGCTAGGCTTGATGGGCTAACTCATGGGTGTCGAGGAAGAGGATAGGGAGTAGGAGTCCCAACTTACAAAGAAAGGGAATCTCTGGAACATTGTTTTTCAATATCCTCGGCGCTGTTCGGCGCTGCTTTGGGGGCCTCGCGGGTTTCTAGCCGGGCTCCTCAGGGGTCTGGGGCCTTCTGGACCCCCTCTGGGTCCTGGAGGCCTCTCGGAGGCTTCATGGGGCGTCCTGCTCCCGCTCGTGGGCCCATCTTGGGCCTGTCCTGGAGTGCTCTAGCGTTGGAAGCTCGACAACACGAGAAAACCGAGAAGCTCGAACAAAACATGAAAACCAACGGTTTGGGTGTATTCGGGGCGGCGGCCTTTCCCCGACTTCGAGCGAATGAAGATGGCTAGGATATGCTAGGATGTCGGATGGACAAGCAAACGTCGAGGAAGAGGATAGGGAGTAGGAATCCCAGCTTGGAAAAAAGGAATCTCTGCAATTCCCTTTTTTCTTCAGGTTCCTCGGTCTTTGAGCGTCGGAAGCGGGAAAACGTGAGAAGGCGAAAAACGTAGGAAAAACAGTGGAAATCAACGATGTAAACTTCTTCGGGCTCTCTCGGGACGGCTCTCGAAGCTCTCTTGGGCTGTTTGGGGGGCCTCGTCGGGGCTTCTATGGGGCCTCTCAAGGGTCTCGGGTGTGTTGGGGGCCTCTGGGGGGTCCTGGAAGCCTCTCGTGGAGGCGTCCTGCTCCCGCTCTTGGGCCCATCTTGGGCCCGTTCTGGGGTGGTCTGGGGCCGTCCTGGGCGCCTCTTCGGCAGTCTTGGGGCCTTCTTCGCCCGTCTTGGGGCCGTTCTAGGGACCAGTTGGGCGGTCTTGGGGCGGTCTTGGGGGCCTCTTCGGCCGTCTTGGAGCGTTGGAAGCGGGAAAACGTGAGAAAGCCAAGAACCTAGAAAAAACAATGACAATTAACGATTTTAGATTCTTCGGGTGTTCTCGGGAAGCCTCTCGGAGCTCTCTTGAGGTCTCTGGGAGGCTTTCTGGGAGCCTGGAGAGCCGTCCGAAGGCTATCTTGGGTTGCTCGGGGGCGTATTGGACCGTTCTTTTGCGTTCTGGGAGCTTCTTGGGGTCCTCTTGGGCTGTCCCTGGGCGGTTGGGGGGCTCCCCTGGAGACCGGGAGGCGCGGTACCGGCAGCGTTCCGCAGATGTTCCAGGGAGGTGTGGGACCCCCGAGGGGGGGGCGTTCTTTTACGTTATGGGGGCTTCTTGGGGTCGTCTTGGGCTGTCCTTAGGCGTTTTGAGGGCTCCCCGGGAGGCTGGAAGCCGCGGTACGGGGAGCGTTTCGCAGATGTCACGGGGAGGTGTGGGACCCCAGGGGAGGGGGGCGTATTTGTTTATACGTGATATATGTTTGGAAATGCATGTATAAATATGTATGTGTGTATGTGTGTGTGTGTTCAGTGTTAGTGTGTGGGCCTCCCTCTCTCTGTTATTTGTTTTCCCTCGTTTTTTTGTTGTTGTTTCTCTCTCTCTCTCTCTCATTATCTCCATGTACCTCTCTCTTCTTCCCTCTCTACACCCAATTTCACCCTATGCTCTCTGACATGTACTCACCACATGTACGTACTGCATCCACCATTCACTATCATATTTAACAGTGGTCACACATTATTGGTTGCTTTCGCTCTCGCTCTCTTTCTCACTTTCTCTCCCTCTCCCTCTCTCTCTTTCTCTCGCTCTCCCCAATCCCTCTGGTCAACTCTGTTCGCAACTCTCTGGCCCAGGACTGCTCGGCGATCCGAGACCCGAGCGCTTGGCCACAACCGAGATCTCCAGAACCCCAAAACCTTACGTTGCCAAGAGCAGAAGAGGACAAAACGATATGATACCGGAAACAGAAAGCGATCATAATCTCTTTAGGGCTATGGGGCTCAAAGGCAATAGGGCCATAGGGCTGTAGGGCTATCGGGCTATAGGGCTGCAGGGCTATAGGACTGTCGGACTATAGGTCTCTAGGACTATAGGGCTATAGGGCTGTGAGGCCATAGGGCTATAAGTCTATAGGGCCATAGGGCTATAGGGCTATCAGGCTATAAGGCTAGGGCTATAGGGCTATAGGGCTATAGGGCTATAGGGCTATAGGGCTATAGGGATATTGGGGCTGTAGGGCTATAGGGCTGTAAGGCTATAGGGCTATAAGGCTATAAGGCTAGAAAGCTACAGGGCTATAGGGCTATAGGGCTATAGGGCTACCGGGCACCCGGGCACCCCCGGACACCTCCAGGCACCCGGGGCACCCGGGGCACCCGGGCACCCAGGCCGGCCACCGAAATCGGCGACAAACCTCACCTAACCATATGAATCCGCTAGGACACCTACGGAGGCAAGCCAAGCCCTGATTGGGGAATGGGCATAAAACTTTTGGCGCTCCGCGCAGATTTCTTGGAACTGCGCTGGACCCCCCTCCCTGGCGCGCCGAGCGCGCCAAGGGCCGCGCTGGAGGCGCCGCCAGGGGCCCAGCGCGGATCCAAGAAATCCGAGCGGAGTGCCGAAAGCTTGTCTGTGAAGAAAGAACTGCCAGAAACCCACGAAGCCTTACACTGCCAGGGGCACCTGCATCGGGATAACCGGGAACCCAGGTGAACCCAACTGCCCCCCGAGCCGGAAACCCAGCCAACAATACACTGCCGGGGTATCCTGGAACCAGGAACCTGGGAACCCCGACCTTACTAGAAGTCAAAAAATCCCCCCCATAAGAACCACCCCGACACGCGAAATCGTTGTGTAAACGTGCCCAAAGAGAAGGAATCGAACAGGGCAGGACTGTTAAAAAGACGCCCAATGCCGTTTAGTAGACGCTAATTGTCCAGTTCGGGTGGTTTTTCCTCCCTTGACTTACACTGCTGGGAAGCCTGGAACAAGGAACAAAAAAATGCCGGAACGCAGCCGCAAACCGAGATCGGCCCAGAACCTGGAACCGGGAACCCGGGAACCCAGAACCGGGAACGAACCCAGCCGCCTGCCAAAATCCGCCGACCCTGTCGACGTGTGCGAGGGGCTTGGCTGTTCGAGTCGTCGTCTCCGTCGGTCGTCGCCTCCGTCGTCCCCTTTCCCTGCAGCTTCCTTCTCAAGCTCGTGAGCGAGAGAAAAATCGAGCAGTGTCGTAATCGAGTCGAAGGGAAGCCCCTTCCCTTCGATCCCTTCCC